ATCCACCCAACAACAGAATACAGAACAATCCACCCAACAACAGAATATAGAACAATTCACCCACCAACAGAATATAGAACAATCCCCCCAATAAGAGGAGATATAACACACCAACAACGGAATATAGAACACTCTAACAACAACAGAATATAGAACATGCCACCTACCAACAGCATATAGAACAATACACACAACAACAGAATATAGAACATGCCATCCAACAACAGAATGTAGAACATGCCACGAAACAACAGGATATAGAATGCGCCACCCAACAATAGAAGATAGAATCCTCCACCCAACAACAGAAGATAAAACGCTCCACCCAATAACAGAACACAGAACGCTCCACTCAACAGAAGACAGAACCTGCCACCCAACAACAGAATATAGACCACTCCACCAACAATAGAACACGCCACCCAATAGAATATAGAACAATCCACCCAACAACAGAAGATAGAACACGCCAACCAACAACAGAATATAGAACAATCCACCCAACAGAAGATAGAACATCCCACCCAACAACAGAATATAGAACACACCACCCAACAACAGAATATAGAACACTCCACCAACAAAAGAATATAGAACATGCCACCCAACAGAATATAGAACAATCCACCCAAAAATGGAAGAGAGAACATGCCACCCAACAAAAGAAGACAGAACACTCCATCCAACAACAGAAGACAGAACACGCCACCCAACAACCGAATATAGAACACGCCACCCAACAACAGAATACAGAACACGCCACCCAACAGAATACAGAACACTCCAACCAACAACAGAATATAGAACATGCCACCCAACGAAAGAATATAGAACATGCCACCCAACTACAGAATATAGAGCACGTCACCCAGCAACAGAATATAGAACACTACACCAACAACAGAATGTAGAACACGCCACACAACAGAATATAGAACATGCCACCCGACAACAGAAGATAGAACACTCCATCCGACAACAGAATATAGAACACTCCACCCAACAACAGAACATAGAACACGCCACCCAACAAAGAAAATAGAACATGCCACCCACCAACAGAATACAGAACACGCTGCCCACCAACAGAATACAGAACACGCCACCCAGCAACCGAATACAGAACACGCCACCCAACAACAGAATATAGAACACACAACCTAACAACAGAATATAGAACACGCCACCCAACAACAGAATACAGAACATGCCACCAAAAATAGAATATAGAACATTGATCCAACAACGGAATACAGAACACGCCACCCAACAACGGAATATGCAACACTCCACCCAACAACAGAATACAGAACAATCCACCCAACAACAGAATATGGAACACTCCACCAACAACAGAATATAGAACACTCCACCAATAACAGAATATAGAACACGCCACTGAACAACAGAATACAGAACAATGCACCCAACAACAGAATACAGAACACCCCAACAACAGAATACAGAACACCCCAACAACAGAATATAGAACACGCCACCCGAGAACAGAATACAGAATATGCCACCTGACGACAAAATATAGAACATGCCACCTGACAACAGAATATAGAACAC